GGACAGCTGAAGAACCCCTAAAGCACACTTTTTTTTCTCAGAGTATGTAATTTAATATTTATGTTCTAATTTGTTTTGGTAAGGTCTGTTTTCCTTGAGTTAATTTAATATTCATTATTTAGGCAAAAAAGTAAGAAATAGAGTCTTTAAAAAAATGGCTCAATTCTACAAGCTTAAGCGCACACGCTTGTGATGTTTCACAAGTTTCGTTCTTTTTTCTTTTTAAGATAATATTTGAATTTTTGTGTGTCATTCGTATATTGTAAATTCAGTCGTTTCAGTCTTGCACTGCTGAATGACTTTATGTTCTTATACCTGAATGAAATAAAATAAAATTGCAATGGCCTGGATGTGTTCGTCCGTACGTTTGTAACTCTGACCTCATCAAATTCGTAGAAAGTTCAAGAAAACTTTGAATTTCCGAACACCTGTTGGTTATGAATGTTTGCATAGGCCTACATGTAATAAGGTCATGTAATTATGCCCTATTGTTTGAAAATATTTTTAGATAGGTATTGAACACGAGAAAATCGTTACCGCCCTCTATTCAAGATTCAGAATGCTACCGTAAATGGTACAGTGGATTATTGAATGTTTATTTTGATCAAAAAAGCTAGATATGCAATTTCATGACCTCTCCAAACGATAAGTGGACTATTTACACTTTATAATATGCATTTATACATTGTACGTATATATACGTTCCGTATGTATGTAGGCATCAATGGGATTGAGAGTATGTTTCAATGAGAAATGTAACAAATACCACACGCTAAATAACACGTAAAAACTATATTTGCAATGAAACCTAATTTTGCGTAATACCGGCAGAGAATGGCTTCGAACCTGATTGAAAAACACTACCCTAAGCCGCTTTCAATTTCATTGTTTTTGTAAACTTATATAAATGCTAGCAAAGATTAAATTTGTTAAAAATTTGTTTAGTGACAATAACATCGGAAGTGACATAATCTAAAATTATGTTTCGAGGTGAAAACTAACATACTTCATCTACAAACTTATTGGTCTCATATTACAGTATTTGTATTAGGATACAGTTTAGGTTTATGCGTTGGGCGTGTGTGCGGGTGTTAAATTGGTGTATATGTGCGTTGTTTCTTGCGTTTAACAGAATGAAACATTTAAATTAGGGCATTAGTAATTGAACCTTGCACTTCTACTGTGCGCAATTGTTTCTAACAGTCAAAAAATACAAAGCAATAAAAAGAGATTATCAGATGTCACAATAAAAGAGCCATTATTGAGAAATATTGCATATAAACAATCAAGTCCCCTTCCCTTCATCTGTCGTAAATTTAACTTTTAAGCCTTGCGACAAGGTGGCTCACGTCAGCTAGTTGCGCGAACGTACGTATACACTCGAGCTGCATCGTAACCAATTGAGCCTATTTTAGAATGATTACATTTAATCATGGACAGATGGATAAAAGCTGGCTTGAAGTCAATGATTACATAACATGGCTTTTTTGTTTCAATGATTGACCCAGACTAAAATCTACTAAAAAAAAAATCACAGTCCATGAAAATAGCACATGATAGGTGTGCGTAGCCTACTGTTGGTCATATTGAATAGTGAGTGCATAGAAAATTTAGTTTAGTTTCAGGGTTCCTCAGTCCACCGTTGATCATACCTCTCCTCTAAACTCCTCCGCCACTTTCTGCCTGATGTTTCTTTAAACCAATATTTCCTGTATTTTTCAAGTCATTTCTCCACCTCTGTTTCTGTCCATCTGTTATCTGTAGTTCTGATCACATGACCTGCACATCTCCACTTCTTTTTTACCACTTCTGACATGACATCATTCACACCTGTTCTCCGTCTTATTGCTGTACATGGTATTCTAAGAATATGAAGCAAAGAACTATTCACAAATGTAGGGATAAGTATTTTAAACCAAAATTAAAATTTTAATCACACACAATTATAATTGTTTAGTCACAAAAATATCTTAACTTTTTTTTACCTGCTGGGTTCCTCTGATCAAAACAAGTTTGCTATCACATCTCCAATTTGTCTAATCAGTGAACACATTTCATTTGCATTTAATGCAAAACCATGCTTTCTGATTTTTATATGATGTAATTTTGGTTGGTGGTTTTTCGAATCTTTTCTTCCATGTGTACTTCCAAGATAGACAAATAAAAATATATACAGATAAGACACATAGATGGACAGACACACGACATACCAACGGAAGTATTTTGGCTGTATACGTTACTGAATAGTATTATAAGTTTATAATACTGACGTGTAAAATATTATTTTTACTATGTTTAATTCGTATGAAAACAGGAAATTTAACCTATAATGCATTAGAATACTTCAACCTCAAGTAGATGCAATACGTAAATTGATTTGCTGTTTATATTGAGCCCAAACCCAGAACCATTTCGATTTTATTCGTACGGGAAATCTACTCATGCTGCAATCTCTATAAAAATTGCTAAATGCCCTGAACTCGTGACTCAATCCACGGACCTTTAAACAAACTATTGTCACAACTGTCAATCATATTGTCTGCACGATTTGGCAGCGATATCTATCAGAGTTTTGAAATGAATAATGGTGAATAGTATAGCTATATTGATTGTCATATAAGCAGTGCATTAAATTGATGTTCTCGTGAAGTTAATTATATTAGTGTTGTAATAAAAAGAAGTTGATTTATATTTTAGGGTAAATACTGAAATATGTTTTTTTTTTGTCTATTTCTTAAATGTTTCTTATCAATTTTATACTCATGTCTACTTTTTTTCATAATAATTATAAGTGTTTTAATTCTATATTTACCTGTAATATTTGTTTCTAATTTCTTTCTTAATGTCCCTGTTCGTAGACTTCGTTCTAAACCTATTTTAAATGTACAATTTTCACGTGTTAATGTTTGTAAAAATGGTATTTTTTGTAGACTGCAATCCCTTAATTAATAATTGTGTTTGTGATAATCCTGAATTTGATATTTGATAGTTTTTCTAAGTTTAAGTCTATTGCATTCGAGTCGGTTAAACAATACAATATCTATTGTATTTTTAAATATTTTTTTACTGATATTGTGTAAGTTTTATATCTTGTATATTTCCATCCTGTAATTGGTGTATACACTGTTGAATGTGCAATAAATAAATGAATAAATAAATAAATAAAATATGTTTGAAGATATAAATATTTTTTTAGTTTATTAAAGTAGTTATTGTATCTATGAATACTATTTTTGTTATAATTTTAGATAATAATGATACTTATAATAATGATAATAATAATAATAATAATAATAATAATGAGGATTGTAAAACAATAACTACAATGAAAGCTACATATATGGTCAATACGATCATTACATCCTTAATTTAAACTGTGATTTGTATCACTTATGATGATGACAATAGTAATGTTATTGGTATTTTTAATGATAATGATAAAGTAATGGTAGTGATAATTATAATGATAATGGTGCTGGCATTGGTTGTGGAAGTGCTACAGTAATTGTAATTGAAAGAGATCATAAAACAATATATATATATATATATATATATATATATATATAGATGTGTATAAGAGACAGGTGTATGATTGTCATGTAATTAGGTATTAATAGGCAAATGGGAAACACATATATGCCTATACTATTGATAAAAAGATAAAGCAATTAATGTATTATTAAAAAATGTAATGAATGAGTCTATGAGTGTGCTTAACAATCACAGAAGACATTACACTGGCTTTATGTTTCTTAACAAATGATATTTTTATAACTGTAATTTAGTTTCCTAATTTTATATTAATTTCCATACTTAATGCCTCCGTTATATTACAGTGTTTGTTTTTCTTTTTGTAAAGTTAAGAATTTGCAATTTATTTACTTGTTTACCAACACAGTATAACAGTTTGTTTTGTTTTACAGAATAATTTGTCTCCAATTACCCTAAGAAATATATAGGTCTATTATTTTTTTTTCTCTTTTTAATTACCGTATACTTTTATATGTTTATTTTGATATTATTCAATTGTTATCTTATTTATAATTCTCGTAAAATATTTTTTCTTTTGATAAATGATTTCATTTTTTTTTTAATTATTGTTTTGTGTGTGTGATATAAATGCTTTATAATTGTACTATTAAATGTAGTCTATTGTGTTGTGTTTTCCGACCTTGTGTGTATTTTTATTCTTTTTAATATTTTCACAAGTAAGTGGAGATTTCTTTCGCTACGGTATCTGTTTTAAGATTTAAAAAAAGTGCTAAAATAGTTTAATAATAAATATTGTATCATTATCAAACTTGACTATCATCAACATAAGTATTTGCTTAGCACAGAGTTTTGTGGTAATGCTTTTAGTCTATAAAGGGAGATTTATTTTCACTGTTTGTATAAAAATGTATAAATAGTGCTACAAATAGTTTAATAATAAAGATTGTATCATCATCGAAGTTGGCTAGCAGCATAAAGTATTTTCTCAGCACAGAGTTTTGTGATAATGCTGGAACAAGATAGATGCTTACAATATTAATACAGTATAGCATAGGCCTATATATTTATATGCAGGCCTATATATATACAAATATATATAATATATTATATCATAGGCCTATATAGGTTATATATATATAAAGGCTATATAATATATATAGGCTATATATATATATATATCGTATGTTGCTATGCGTGTACACTAAACATGCGTAGGCGTGTGAGTGATGTGCGAATGCGACGTGCGCGTAAACGTATTATTTGCACTTAAAACTAACACACTGGCGGAAGTTATATGATACCTAACCTTAAAATGTTCAAAATTGAATGAATCAAGCTTTGTATTTCGATGCGTACGTCATCCCTACCTTACATATTGCCACCTCATAACTGTGACGATGCTGACCATGTTACTATGACAAATATGTTCACGTGTTAAATGGGTTGGCCTATGGAAGCTAATTGATTCCTGCATTTAAATAGACGGTTACTGGAGTCAGTGAAGCTGATTGCATTCCGTACTTCCAACGAAATAGACTATTGTTTACAAGTGGATTTTTCGCACGCCTCCTCTCATTCATCATCAATACGTTGTCTCAATCAATACATATTCGTGTCTCATTGCTAACTACTCTCACCTCCAGCCTAACTCCACTTGTCCGGTTTTTTTTTTCGTCACTGATCGACCAGCTCGTCACAATATACACACATTATTCGATTTGCGATCGAAAAGTAATGGGAATATATAGTTACTAGTGTTTATGTAAATATGACGGTGTGCCTATAACTGCAAAGCAGTTTCTGTGGAATCTTTGGTAGCAGTTCTCAGCTAGCAGTTCGACAAATTGTTGTGACAGTATAATTGGTTGTTTGACGCTCGAACGACAGCACGATGAACGGGTCGTCATTATTTCTTTCTCTTTGTATTCTACTAGTTTGTTTCTTTAACTCTTATGAAGCGTTTCTTTTACGAAATCCCTCATCTGAGCCGGAAGAGTATTTAGTTGACGCAAGCTCAGATTGGAATAGACAGGTTAGCTTAATAACAAAACAGGTAAGTGGACGCTTTTGATTTTAAATAAATATTGACAAAAGTATAGGTCATTATATTTTTAATAATCCTTCTATGCCGAATTGTTTGGCTTATTACTGTATACAACTGGTCTGAAACAAAATTATTATTATCATAACGTAAAATTAGATAAAGCAGAAAATTAAAAAAAAATCTTATTATTAGCATCTTTTTGTTATTAGCGCAATGTGCAAGATACAACATAGCCCTACTATATCTTTTCTATGTATGTCATTTTTTTTAAAGTTGCTTGAAACCGTAATAAATACAGCATTGCTTAAACATGTCTACAACGAAAGGTTTATAAAGAATACGCACTTTAATTTGCGGTACTTTAAGCAAGTTATAAACCATGTTACTTGTACCTATATTGATAAATCTATAACTTAGGCCTTCTTATGTGTGGGTGGTCATATTGTTTTCGGCTGTTCTTAGAGGCGTCTTGCATCTTAAATGTGCGGAACGATGTCATAACCATGATTTAACCTTAAGTATAGCAGAACACACATCGCATGGCACTAATTTCTTATTGGATTGTACACGGTAATGGGAGAAAAAACAAATGGCAGTTGTTATTATACATGTATTTTACTACGATGGCGTACGTCAATACATAATACATCTATCAAGTTTAATATTTTAATTGTTAGAGTAATAGAAAAACAATTACGAATTTAATCGGTTAATGAAAAGCCAGCCACTAAAAATATCACCGCTCAGTTTGATGTAATACGATTGTTGAGAATGCTGTTATTGGAGATTGCAACTAGTATTGGCAGATATGAGTGTGTGTGATGTGTGTGTGTTTGTGTTATAATCATATCGATTAAATGGTGGAATAACTAACATAACACTTAAGCTTACCAAGTTTTTAAGCATGTTTGAATAGTTAACCAGCAGTATTATCAAGTTACACGAAGCTATCATTATTTTGCTTGTGAGTGTTAGGTGATGCCTTACCGTGTTAGGACCTGCGTTGGTCTGACGGAAGAAGCAGCTGATATCTTGCTAATCAACTCTATGATCCAATTGACCACTCTATTGATGAGCAACGCACACGGCATGTTTCACTTTCAATTTTCCTTACTTTTTAATCCGTATCTATTAAGGTTTGACTGACCACGCAGTTCCTTTTACATGCTAAAATATACATTTTTCACCCAACATTCTAAAAGCAGTGTAAAAACTGATTTTACCCTAAAGAAAAAAAGCTATTGAAAAATAAATAAATAATCAAACATAAGTTAGGCCTACTGAATTAAAAATTAATTAAACATTTTATAAATCTATTATTCCTGAACCTATGAGAAATATAAATATATGTTCAAGTTACATAGTCATTTTAAACGGGTGAAGTGATATGATGTATACTGAATTAAAACAAACAGGCCTAAATCTTAACACTTTTAAAGCCAATTTTAAACAATTATCAAGGGGAAATACCTACACATTTTAGAAATAACTTGCCAACAAATAAAACACTGTGTAAACCTACATTGTCATATGGATCGTATTGTATACGAATCAAACATTCGTTAAACGTTTCATATAACTGTTGTTTTTAATTGTTTTAGGACTTTACATAAATAATTATAATTTTCCTTGGATCAGTCATTGGAATCAGTGAACCAATGTTGACATAGAGCTTACATTGAGCTGAAAATGTTCTTCGGAATGTTCCAATTCTAGGGAGAAATACCTTACAAAGAAAAAAGCCCTGTCTAGAAAGTCAATGTCAAAGTCAACCCTAATTTTAATTTTTTTTAAAATTCAGTATACATCATATCACTTCACTCGTTTAAAATGACTATGTAATTTGAACTTGTTTTTACCACAGCTTGTGGTATAATAAATAGCTTGCTAAATTAATTTATATAATGTAAACATAAAAATACAGGAAAAAACAAAACCTCCTCAAGCTTTCTAAAGATCTGACGCGTGTGCAAATTTGATTTGCCTAAAAATAATATTAACGCTATTATTGATACTTGTATTTTTTTGAATCAATACTATTGATAATTACGATGTTGATAAGGATGATGATAATAGATGATGATAATGATGATGATATACGGTTTGAATCTCAGTTAACAAAAAATAACAAAATAGTAGAGGAAGGCTTGTTAACGGAAAACAACTTTTTAAGGCTATTTAAAGATCAAACGTCGTGTGCAAATTTGATTTGCCTAAAAGTAATATTAACGTTATTACGGATGCATGTATTGTTTGAATCAATAATAGTAATAACAATGTCGAAAATGATGATGATGATATACTGTGTTAACCTCAGATACCAATAAATAACAAAATAGTATGGGAGGGCTTGTTAACCGGAAACAATTTTCTCTATATTGCATATATGGTGACAAATTATAAGATTATTTTAGGCATAACAGAATCAGCATGATATGCTGAGGATAAATAGTTATATAACACCATATTTAGACGTAGTGTGAGGTATTTTAAACAAGGATATCGGAGTTAAGTACAAACTGAATTAAATAACTATTTAACAGGATAAATTAATAGACGTGTACGTCACTGCCGCCGTGTGTATTCAAATGGTATGAATGAATGTATTGATTACATCAACATTGCTAGCAATTAACAAGACAAAGATCTCTAATGTTAAGTGAATTTCACGCGTGATACATACGTTGGTTATTATAAAATTATATTCACTTGCATGAAGGGGTAGTGTATTTCAATTGCACAGGCTCTTTAAATAGAAACCACTTTCTTGGTTTATTGCTAATTGTCTATAAAGACGATTAGTATAGCCGTCCAATGTAATCCCTGTTAATTCTTTAATCCGTTTCAAATGTACAGTATTATCAGCATTTTTCACATATAATCGCGTAAATACAGGTGTAGAGTTATATCTTTTTATGAACTTCTTACGTTTCTAACTGTAGTGTCACTACGCCATTTTAAAAATAAACTAACCTTCAATGCAGCATTTTCTAAACCTTATACTTAACATTATTGTTTTGTTGCTTTTCTATATACCGTCTATTATATATATGTACTGTTAACTGTTGTGATTTTTATATAGTTTTGCCAACAATGAAGTACAGTAATTTCTTGTACAGTGCTTTTGCTTTAACAATACCAATACAAGTTATGTATTCGGTATTTATGTATTTATAGTTTTAGCTTTATATAAATCTACAAGCGCATATCCAACAACAAACTAAAAAATGATGCTACTTTGTTGCATTGTCGATTAAGAAAAAAGAAACCAATTTCACTACTCACAAACGACTTCACCGGCAAATAATTAGAGACCTCCTTAATAACATCTTAGTTCATTAAGTAACATGCATTAAGATGTAGAGCCTGTAATTATTATTGTCCCGGCTTGAGAAAAAAAAAAGAAGTTGTTTTTGTACACACACAATTTTAATCGCTTGTCTTTTTCGAAATCAACAACGGAAACATACCGCTACAGATTGGATATAAAAGCCTAGTATAGTATGACTAATGGCTGTAAATAGAATTTGTTTTAATGTTAGGAAAAGACGAAAATTAAACCAGAAACTAAATTATAGATAAAAACAATATAAAAGTATTAAAATCAACAAATCCTGTAATACAGTACCAGAGCTAATGAAACAATGTAAAGGAATTTAATATAAATAATATAAATGGTATAGGCCTATTGTATAGTTTGAAAATTCTGGACGTCAAACAATGGGCTGCGTCAGCCAAACTTTTGCCAAATGAAAGAGAGAGCTAGGTTTTACGATTACCATCTAGTAAACTATGCATAATATGGATATAATGGCTTCCTTGTCTGGATATTATCAACTTTTGACCATTTGCGTGATGCATATTACCAGTCAAAATTTTATGGAAGTTCAAATTGTTATTTTACATTAATAGGCGCAGTTTATAAATCTCAAACTACTTAAAAGTATGCGTTTTTTTTAATTCATTTTAACAGAAAATATCTACAAACGATGACCGGAAACCTACCACGTTGACCTTTGAGCTCATTTTTAAGTCACTCATTATGTTTAAAAATATTTTGGTTGTTTATGAATGTTAGTAATTAAATTTATTACCATAAAATCAGAATAACATAATTATAACTTGCTGATTAATGATGATAAATCTATTTTTTATCTAATTCAATGCGTTGATTCTGTAAAGTATTTGGGAACAATATTAATAGGTACTGAGAGGATTAAGATGTTTTGCTCTTGTCCTAACATATTAAATTTAGTTATGTTATGCGCATAACAACCTTAGATGTTTAATCTCTTATAAACATATTATTATACATATGTAACCAAGTTCGGCATATATTGCATCTTGTACCATAAATAAACTAATGTGCCTTTTGGAGAATTACATTAGTTTTCGAGTCATTTATAAAATAGGACTACTTTGAATTACAATAGTTATTTATTTTGTGATAACTATAATTCATTTTCATATTTTTATCGATATTTTGTACAATGAAATTCAAACGGTATCAGAAAATGCTTTAAAAATAGGAGGTTTTTCTGTATCTTGCTCTAGATCTGGTTGAGTAGGCAGTTTCAATATTGACCGTTATATTCACTAAATAGGCCTTTAATATTATTTTACCTGATCAATTAAAGATCTTGCGTGCCTGCCAAGGCGAGATGTTTTAGCGGAAAAACTTTTTGAGAAATATTTAATTCTTTATATATTATTTGTCTTTAGTAAAGGGACAGTTTGGAGGAACTGTACTATGACATTTTATTCTCAAAATAATTAAAATGTCAGCTTTGTCCTACATTCAGCCGGGAGTAAGTTAACAGCAAATCATAGATTAAAGCTTAACTTGATTCAAAGAAAACTCAATTAAAAACGTTCAAAAGGCATATAGTGCGTTAGGATGCGTTTCGCATGAGGCTACACTCAAGTTGTGACGCTTCGCCAACACGTGGACGAAAATGTATTGAACATAATTTACAGAAAAAAAAATCACTTAAAATTTAAATATGAAA